AGGGAGGCAACTCAGCATCCCATACGTTGGGCCATATCCATTGTAACTAGGAAGCCCAAAAGTGTTGGGTTACCAGGCCACCTATCTTCCTCCTTGATATCATGGATAAGGAGACCATTAGGCAATAAATAAATAAACAGATGGTCTGATAAAGAAACGAAGATAGCGGATGATGAAGATGATGAAGAAACGAAGATAGCGGATGTTTGTAGAGAATTACGGGCCAAAGTATGTCTGGATGTTATGTTTACGATTCGCAAGGCAAATAAGCGACCCATTTTATGGGCCACACCTTATGTAAATGGGAGGAGGAGGAAATTTGAACCTCCAGACTAGCAATTTTCCTAATCCTTATTCTACATGCAGATTGTAGGATGAATTCCAAAAATACACATGTTTTTAAAAAACAATTCCCAAAATACACATGTTATTAAAAAAAATCTCAAAATACACATGTTTGGGCATCACCGCTGTTGTCAACTGCAGTGAATGCATTCACCGCGGTAGACCAAAGCAGCGTATTCATCACCGCGATTGACGACCGCGGTGAATGCCTGACGTAACACTAAAACTTCAAACAAACGTAACTTTGCGCTCGGTAATCCGATTGTAGCGATTTTTTTTATTCCATATAACTTTTCAAGATCTTTCAATCTGCAACAAGAATTCATCTAAAAAAATGCCTTTGTTACCCTGAACGAGCAATTTTTCGATTTTGCCAACCTTTGGAAGGACATAACTTTTAGCTCCACAATCCGAACGTCATAAAATTTTTTAATATTGCGCATAACTTTTTAAGAACTAAAACTTTTACTAGGAAATAATTTTTTAAAAAAGAAATATTTTTGGGTATACGGGATTTTGGGAATAACTTTACCTTTACTTTTCACAAATCCACATACTTTCCAATATTATGGTTATAATCAAAGTTGTAGTACTTCAAAAGTTATGCAAAATCAAAAAAAATTTCATGACATTCGGATTGTGGAGCACAAAGTTATGGTCTTCCAAAGTTTGTCAAAATCAAAAAAATTACTCGTTCGGGGTAGCAAATGAATTTTTTTTGGGATGAAGGCTTGATGCATATTGAAAGATCTTGAAAATTTATGTGGAATCATAAAAAAAAAATCGCTACAATCGGATAACCGAGTGCAAAGTTACATTTGTTTGAAGTTTTAGTGTTACGTCGGGCATTCACCGCGGCCGTCAACAGCGGTGATGCATTCACCGCTTTGGTATGCCGCGGTGAATGCATTCACTGTAGTTGACAACAACGGTGATGCCCAAACATGTGTATTTTGGGAATTTTTTTTATAACGTGTGTATTTTATAATTTTTGTTAAAAACATGTGTATTTTGAGATTTTTTCCCCAGATTGTAACCAACCATCCATGAATCAATAATAAGCGATCAAGGTCTTTCTATAAGAAAAACAAATTTCTTAAGTTTTTCTTGACTCATAGAAAGAGGATAGAAAAAGTAAGGTTTAACCACCTAAAAGGGAAAAATAGGTATATGATATTTAATGAAATTTGAAATTCAAAATGGAAATGCAAGATTAATATTTAATGTTTTAAAAATGCAAATTCAAAGTTATAAATTTCCACTCTCTCCGTGATAACTTGCAATGTCATTATCAACGTTTACGAAATCAATTATTATTGATATACCTCATCATTTTAACAATTTCAATATACTTATAATGCTTTACGAAATACATTATTAACTATTTTATTCAATTGCTAAAGATTTACATTTTCGCCATCAACTCTTATAAGGAAATTATCAAAGTTATGCCACATTGTCATTAATATATAACATCTTTATCAACGGTTTACGTTTTCACATCATGTTCATTACTAGCGAAATCATGGCCTCTTACTATGACTTTCAATGGCATATTAATGTTTTTCGATCAACTGATCTCGATTTATATTGTCGTTCTCAGCAATCATATAACACAACGCTTATTTTCAACATCTTCGACGCCTACGACATGTTGCACTTGTGATTCAGTCAAGCAAACATTAGATCATGGAGGTGCAAAAACATCGGGCAAGCAAACCAACATTCAAAATCCAACACCAAAGTGTTAATAATGATACAACAAACAATTTATGACAAAATTATATTTTGTTGAAACAACACAAAATTATACATAAGATTCAAACTCAATGTTAAGTATCAAATATCATCACATGAATGTTGTATTTGATTCAAAACTCAAACAAAAATGTTAACATAAAAAAATGACCTCTAATCGTTAATGACGATATTGTTAATATTACCAGCTAAGTTGTGCTTTCTTGAAAATGCAAGTAAAATCATTACTAGTGTCAAAATTTAATGGTCATTAATCATAATATTTTTTATTAATAAATCCTCATAAAATTAATAAAGATATACATTTTGATTATTATCGTTTTATAAATAATCTGTGATGTTTTCTGTGTTCATTATTAACAATATCTCGTATGTTTTCTGATGTAACCCATCGAATGTGTACGATGACTAGCCATTCACTTATTAACAATTGCAGGTCAAATGTTATCGACGTAAAATAATGTTCTCAACATTTATGTGCGGTATCATTAACAATATACATAATTATGATTATTTTTTAAATATTTGTTGAATTTTTGCTAACTCATTAGTAGCGATATCTAGTCATTTTTAACATAAATTGTAGATTGTTTACAATGACTATAAATTAAATTATCTATGCTTTAGGTCAATTGTTATCGATGCAACTTAACATTATCAACATTTATGCGGTGTATTATTAACGATATGCAATATCATTATTTATTATTTTCTAAATAACTTTTATTATTTACAAAATCATTATTAATGATATCTCGTCATTTTTAACGCAAATCATACAACGTCAACGACTATAAATTGTATTATTTAAGATTTAGGGCAACATTGTCAATGTTTATGCAATGTATTATAAACTATATACATAGTAAGCTTGAATAAACACATTTCAGAAAATGAACTTCGATGTTAAGCTAGATGATTAACCATATCATAGTATAACAAAGACACAGTAATATATGCTTATACCGAGATAAATGATGGCACGTAAAATATACATTTTATCACATCGTTCTATGGCATGATTTACTTCATTTATTTATATCTTTAGCCATTTTAACTTCGATATGCTTGATATTTGATCAAATGCGCTTTTGATAGCCTTAAGGACTGTTTTTACACATGTAATGCCATTTTGGGTAGTTATTGTGTATTTTTAGGACATGGAATCGTGGAAGCTTATCGTGACATGAAAGAGGGCGAAAATACGAGCACATAGGATCAAACATAGCCTAATTCGAAGTTCATACGAGGAAGAAAACGCTCAGACAAGTTGACAACCTAAAGTAGTCAAAGAGCTAAAAAGGAGGCCCATGCACCGTTTCACACTTTAGACAACTAAAACGAACGTCATTTTGTGAAAGTCAGGTATAAAAGTCTATTTTTAGGAGGAGGACTTTGTCTCTTGACATTCCCCTAGGGGTTAGCTTTGAAAAACGAGTAGATAGCTCCCTAGGGTTTCGCCATGGTGACCCTCACTCCCTCTTTCCTTGTAAGCTCTCTTTTAGTTATGGATAGCTAAACTTCTGTACTATCAAACTTATGTAGAACCACAGGGATGATGGATGGATGGATCTGCCTATGGATTGATGACTTTTTTATGAGTTTGATTTTATGTTTTTTGATGAAGGAGTTTGATTTTACGTTATGTAGATGTTTTCCATATCAATATGATTACTTATATAATCGAAGTTGTCTTCTCACATGTTGGTAACTTCAAATGTGTTTTCTGATTTGGATGAGACTAGCTACGACTATCTTTTCACAATCGATTATCAATTGATTGAGTTTAGGGATGGCAAATTACCCACCCATGGGTAATTATACCCAAACCCAAGTAGACCCATTGATAATGGGTTGGGTATAGGTGAAGTGCATATGGATTTTGGGGTTTATAGATGGGTTTGGGTAAGGTATGAATATTGCTTCCATAATCTAAATGGGTATGGGTTGGATATGGATATCCATTTACTTGAGGGTGTTTTAACTACACATGCAAAATTTGGACCTATTTGTAAAACTTGAAAAGTTTAGGTACCAAAATGTAAGACCAAAAAAATTTAGGTACCAAAACGTAATTTTCCATCGATATTTTGAGGACTTATATGCAAAAAATAAATAAATTTAGGCACTAAATATGCATATCTATTAAGTTTGGGTACCAAATTGTAATTTATATTTGGGCATGGGTACAAACCCAAATCCATTTGATATAAACCCAACTCAATCCAAAATAAATAGGTATGGGTACAAACCCATTAAACTCTACCCATATCCATCTATTTGGATTTCATACCCAACCCAATTGAGTTGGATAGTAAAAAACTCATGGTTATGGGCAAAGTTGCCAACCCTAATTCATCAAGAGAGAAATATGTAGAACCATTCGTAATCTGTTAGATCTAACCATCATTAGACATATTATAGGATAAATTGCAACATATAATCGATCACTGCACATGGTACAAACGTCAATGAAAACCTAGGGGAAACATAATTTCAATGGTAGTCTTTACCTTTGCTTTAGTTTCAATCGATTTAGTTTTCCTTATTCTTGTATATTTTAGTATTTTCGTAGTCTAGATTGCAACTTTTAGGTTTGAGTAATAAATCCATTAAAGAACCTTCATCTGCTCAGTAAATTTGCCACTGTCTCACAAAGGATCAAATATAGAAGTAATGTTATTCCATGCCCCGGGTTTTCGTCTTACTCCTACAGAACCTACCAAAATCAAAACAAAAGCATTTCCTGGAAAGAGGGGGCCTCCTGGAGCGGGACAATGTCCATCTATGAAAAGAGGTTAGAGGCATCAATTAAAAATAGCCTGTTTTGCTGGTCCAACTCCCCACCCATTTAAGTAGACACACACAAGTACCAACTTGGATGGAAGCGAAGCACCTCATGCAGAGGCAGCTGCTGCCAACAGACCATTGTGGCGTAGTAGCGCCTCCGGAGAAGGTTCACGACCTCGGAACTCCACAAACACCTGCAAACAACCCAACAGCAAGAAGTATAAACCAACCAAATAATCAAATTTACAAAGCCACATTCCTTCGATGGACCAACATCGACAGATGAGAAAGAAAAGACGCGCGTTCTACGTTCTCAGTATCTGACCTCCAACGGCGCTTTGCCACCACCAAGAGCGAGAACAGTTTCCCGGAATTTGTGTCCCGTCTCTTTAACAGCCTGTTTGCCCACGAAGCAAAGTGCACAAGTTAGTATCATTGCGCTTTCGGTTGTAGACGTGTGGTGGTGGGGTGACAATAACATATCTCTTAAGAGACCTGACGACACCCTAACTCTTGCCGCCGAGGAATATTTAACGATTCATTAGTGGTATCTTCTAACCCAAGGAAAAGAAATGGGTAGCTTTCTGAGGAATGGAAAACAATACCTTGTTGTCATCCAATCCAGCATCTTCAAAAGCTGAAAAAGCATCTGCAGATAATACCTCAGCCCACTGCAACCAAGATTTGGCAGTTAGAAACAGCATCGGAATATTCACAAGCTCTGCTTGGTGCATAGAGGAGGATGTTGAAATATATGAAAACAAGCTCAATCTAGGAGATATGGTCATATGGAATGGATACTTTGCATGGGATATGCAAAATCTTAAGTGGGTGCATTCCATGGTCATTAGCAGAATTAACAGTAGCAGAATTAACAGTTGACAATTTTCGTTGGGGGAAGAATTAAGACAAGAAACTAGAGGAGAATTTACCTTATAACTGTAATATCCCGCCGCATATCCACCTGCGGTCAACAAAAGCTTCACATCAATAAACGAGCAGGGGGAACTGATTTCAGCAAAACAATTGAATTGAAAAATTCAACAGCAAAACACAAGAAAACTAGCCTGCAAAAATATGACTGAAACCACAAAGGAATCTATCTTCTGGCAAAGGTGGGATAATCTGTGTACGCTTTGAGACTCTCTGATCCACATCATAGACAGATTCCGGACCTCCTGGCACATAATTTAAGTGCAATTCCAAATCTGTTGTTGCAAATTTTAACTGCAAACATAACAAAGACGCGAGTGAGCCAAAACATTGTCACCCATTACTTTAGTCCCTAAATATAATCTATCCAGCATCTTAATTTTTAAATCATTAGGCATCGGAAATCTGCAAATCTTAATCAAATAAAAAAGATACACTAACTTGCTACAAATTAACATTGACAAGTAAACAACAACATTAAGACTACCTGACGTAGACTAAGGGTACCCGCCCGATATGTTCGTGCAGCCACAAGCTTCAAGAACACCTCTTCTGGTAGGTTCTCACCAGTTTCGTAGTGTTTCGCAATGCCCATCAAGGTTTCTCTGCAGAAATTGCACATCAACATAAGCTATGTATCATTCTTGCGATTTTTACAAATTTGAATCAATCAATTGGCAATACCCAAACAATCACAAACCATTTACAACTATGAAGAACTAGCCCGTACATGAAAGAGCTGGAATGCTATATAAGCATTCAAAATGAATCACTGTAATCCTCAACATGCATTCTCAACCAATTTCATACTTTAAGAAGAACAGCCTTCATCCAAGGAAAAAGTTATTAAAATCCACATCAGCATCATGTACCACAAACGTATCATGTTGAAAATTTTTAACAGAAATGGCAAGTTATTCCACATAAAATCAAGTCAAGACATAATAAAGCCAAAAGTGCAGAACTCTAACTAACCAACCTGTGATAGCACCAATTTTCCATAAATTGAGAAGGCAATTCCACAGCATCCCACTCTATTCCCCTGATTCCAGCAACAAGGCCCTCATCCACCTTGGTAAGCATGTGTTGAAGAGCATGGCCAAACTCATGGAAGACAGTTTCAACCTATGAAAGCACATTACAACCAATCAACTAAAGCTCGTCACAATTTCTCATTTTAGTGTATTATTTCTTCAGAGAAGCATAAGTAGCAGGCAAAGTACTAAGTAATTAATCACATACAAGATATCTGTTTTTCACTTTTCCATATAAACAAGTTAATACTAAGCAACTCATGATACTTCAGAAGCCAATGCACAGCTCTCATAACACACTCAGCAACGATCACTATATTTGGACATGACTATCACACAACCTGTAAGGGCTAACTGAAAATATCAGTGAGTGTATATCTTACCATTCAGTAATATTTTCCAGAATCTGAAAATGCAAAAATTATATTTCCCAAGACAAAGATTAACATAAATTATAATACAAAATCAAGAAATGCTTTAAGGTAAGATTTCAGCGAATAGGTAATAAGAAAGTACCTCACTGAATGTCATAAGACTTGGTTTGTCACCAACTGGTGGTGTTTGATTGCATACCATATGCGCTACTGGTAACCTTGGACTGGTACCATTGCGTGACAGAACACGACTTCTTCCAACGACCTCATCCATCCATGCACCTCCCCTTTTCTCAGATGGACGGGAATAAGGATCAAAATAGAAGTATGCAGTTGGCGAGCCTGAGGAATCCTTGATGCAATAGAACCGAACATCTGTATTCCAAACCTAAAGGCACCAAATGTCAGGAAGATTATTTACATACGAAAGAAACAGAGAGTAAAGGAACTCATAAAATGGAACGAAGTGTATTACAGGAGCGAGGCCATCAGCTGCTTCAATATTTATGTCAAAGAGCTTTTTCGCAAGATTGAAAAGACCATCCATAACCTTCGGTAATGAGAAATAAGGCCGCAGCTCCTCCTGTACAAATAACGACAAGTAGGAAGTCAGCTGTTTGCATCCAAATGAAAGATTGAACAGAGGCCCAATGGGAACAATTGACAGTAAACATAACAGGCAAGTCCCACTCAGCAGGAAACATTCAAATGTTGAACACAGCTTCAATGCAGGAGGAGAGACTTGAGAGGTATGTCACCTCGTTGATATCATATTTTGCCTCACGTAGCCTCTCTGCCCAAAAGCTGATGTCCCAGTGTCTCAAGTCATCTGCTTCTGCAGCACCTTGGCTTTTGGCAAAATATTTAAGCTCTTCCAAGTCTACAACGACCAAAGAAAGTGCTCGGGTCAAGGCCATTAGAGCTCTCTTCCAGCCAGATCAAAAATGTAAAATGGTCATGTTAAGAATCCCGAACCTTGGAAGTCAGGAAATAACTGGACTACAAGAGTGAGATAATATAATAATATAAGCATACTGTCATCAGTCAAATGTTTTGCCATAACTATCACAAGTAGCACGCAGGCTAAGAGGATCTCAAGCACAATACAAAAATAATGCAAAACAAGAACGTAGGGAAGCTCATAACTGTAGACACCTCATATATCATTACCTGTAGACAGGTTTTTCTGAAGTAGTTCATTCTAAAAAATAAGGAACTTCACTAAAAGAATCAAGCATGCAGAAGGTTTTCTGGAAGGTTTGAACTTGATTGTTTAACAACAGTGAAGAGAATCGAAAGCCATGTAAAAGCGAAACTTGGTCAAATGAACTAAAACGTTTAAACTGACATGGCCTCCTACCAGGTACATAATAGGTGCGGGCCAATTACCTTTAACAGCTGCATCCCAAGAAGCCGATCGCAGTTTTTCCATAAGGTCTTGAGCTTTCTCAACTGTAGCCATTTTGGTTGCCATGCTTACCTGTAATAAACAGAGAATTAAAGACAGCTTTCATCTATATATTATTGCTGTGGAGCAACAAATTAAAGCATTGTACCTCAGCATAATTATTATAGTTAAGTAGCTTAGCCTTTTCCAGCCTAAGCTTTAATATTTGATCAATGATTGGTGTATTATCCAGATCTCCACTTGAAGCACGAGTAACATAGGCACGATAAACTTCTTCTCGCAAACCACGGTTTCGAGCATGTTGCATGACAGACACAAAACTAGGGCCATCCAAAGTAATTATCCATGGTCCATCCTCACAAGTTGCCCCAGGGTGACCCTGATACAAAGCATATATGAACCAGTCAAACATCATCATGATATTTGGTAAATAAGTTTGAAGGGAAAACAAAGCCATGGCACCCAAGATTCTAGTGGGTAACATCAGGGATACAAGCAGAGTTCACATGATCAGCTAATAATACCTTGGATACAGCCGTCTGTGCAGCCAACCCAAGTGCAGTGGCAGGCAATCCTTCAATCTCTTTCTTATCCGTGACAAGTCTTTCAAACTTCTTTGTGGCATCCAGCACATTCTCGTCGAACTTTTGAGACAATCTTTCCAGTTCCTAGAAATAAACCAAAATTCATAAGGAAGTTCTCAGCTACGAGACTTATCGTCCTTACATGTAACTAATCTACATCTCATTAGAGATACCCCAACGCAATATTGTTCCTGCTTTCATCGGAATAAGACTCATCCCACCCCAGGAGGACAAATAAGGGGGGAGAAAATTTTAAACAGGCGACATTAGAACTGTACCTGCTCAACTTTATTGAACTCTTCTCTTTTCTCGTCCTCTAAAGCAACACCACTGAGGACCGCTTCCTTTATTTGGCCTGCACATACACAGCAAAGGCGATCAAGGGTTACCCAACTAAGCTTTGTAAAAAAGAACACAATCCACATGTCCACAAGAATGGAAAACAGAAGGAATAACAGTTCAAGCGTGAGACGATAGAGAATAAAAATCAAATTAGAGCATTAACACTAGAAATCCAATGAAAATGTATAAAAACTAAAAACCATTGTAAAGGTAGAAAGTGCTCAAAAAAGAAAATGTAAAAAGATGCAATCTTTTACAGATGAGAAGATGACGCACGCTAAAGAAACTCACCCTCAACTATCCGCTTCCGAGCATCACTGAGATGCTGCCACTCGGGAGATTCCTGAATGGCCTTAAAAGCATTATAAATGGGTTTACTCTGTCCCAACCTGAGCTGAAACTTGACTTTGTCGGGCTGCGGACAAACATTCAAAACAGTATCCAGCAAGAATGAGAAACAGAACAGAAGGATTTTTTTTTTCTATCCAAATGATTCTAATTAATCATCCATTTCCACACTTCACCTGAACTTCCTCGATAGCAGCCCGGAGCTCAGCGGTATCCTTGACCGCCTTCAGGTGATTAACCATGCCCCAAACAACGGTCAATTTATCGACAATCTTCTCCAACGGCTCCACCAGCTTCGACCAAGTCGGCTCCACGGTCCTCTCCAGTTCCTCCAGATCATCCTCCTGAAGGCACAGCTCAAGAAAAGTAAACAAATCGAACAATTACACACAAACAACCAGAGAAAAGAGAGAGAGAATATGCTTACGAGCTGCTTGAGCAGAGCGCGAACCCCAGGACGGACATGGTCGGCCTCGACGGAATCAAACGGAGGGAACTCGAAGTCCTTCAAAAGAGGGTTCTCAACATCCGCGGCAGCAGCGACGGCGGCGGCCATGGCAGACGGCGGGGAAGGAGGGGGAGAGAAGGAAGTGTAGCGGCGAGGGGAATGGGAGAGAGAGAGGACGGGGAGAGAAGTGGTAGTAGTGAAGGAGGAAGAAGAAGGGAGGCAGAGGGAGAAAGAAGCGGACCAGAGAGGACAGGGACGAGATTTAAGAGGACAATTGAGGGCAAAATGGGGAGACTGAGTCAGGAACCGAGTCGGGTGTTTGAGGATTGGGTGAACGCTGCGAGAGAGCGAAAAAACTGACGCCATTAGAGTGTTGAGCAACAAGAAGACTCGGAAAACAATCTTGTACTGCTGCTCGGGTTCCACGCATTTTTTATTTTTATTTTTTTCCTTTCCCCTCTTTTGGCCGCTTCTGATTTAATTGGCGTGTCCGCGAAGAAATAGATTTGGCTTGGTCTAGAAGGTAATCTACACCGTTAAACGAAGTGAGTTTTTGACTTTTTAGTTTTTATCATATGGAGGAAATTGGGGAAAGAGCATCTTGGCCGGGTTTCAAAATTTAGTTTAATATAATTATTACCTATTTTATTTTATCTTAACTTATATTATGGTCGTTGTAGAGAAAATTTTCGTCATGTACGACACGGTAAATTCCATCATTTTTCATGTCATTATTACCATTTTAAATTTTTAAAATTTTTTATCGTTCAACTAAACTAAAATCATATATATATATATATATAACCCAACTCAAAAACTAATCTTAAGGTGTCGGATTTTGAATTTTAATTTGTAGAATTAGTGTAATATGATGATATAACATCTGAATTGCTATTCGTCGCCCTAAAATTCAAATTTTATCGCCCTAAAATACAGCAAATTGACATATTTATCCCTCCGCCTTTTCTTGACGTAGACGCTCGACCGCCCATCTATTCCGACCTATGTGTGCCCAGCCAGCGAACCCTAGGCGAGGAGAAAGAACAAAGGCTGTTGTAGACTTCCCGCCCACATCTGCAACCTGTTCAGTCGCCGTAATTATTATTATTTTTTGTATTACTCGTCGGACGGCATCCGTCCCGACCTCGTCGGAGATGGGATTCCAATTCGTCCGACGGGTAGTACAGTCGGGTAAAGCAGGCGTTTCGACTTTGGCGAAGGGTAGGGACGGGTAGTGTTTACGTCTGGGCACAAGTTGGATCGGGCAGGGAACAATTCTGGTGTTTCCCTTAATACAAATCCAACTTTCGATCTGCCGCCATCCAATCCTTTTCCCCGCTGAATTTTGATGGTGGTGGGAGGTTAGATTGGGCAGGGAGTAAGATGGATCGACGGAAATGAATAAAAAAACTCAAATTGAATGTATCAGTTGTGGTACTATAACAATCAATGAAAGTTCATGGGAGACAATGAAGATGACTTCCTATTCTTTTTCACCGGTCATGACAAAGTTGTCGACGGGAAATGAGAAGCAGCAGCGGAGAGTCTCCTCCGGCCAACAGGTCTCGAGACCGCATAGCCCGACAAATAAATGAACCAAGGTCATTAAAGTAAATTTAATTTAATTAGGGCGACGAATAATAAAATAATAGGGCGACGAATAGCAATGCCCTATAACATAGGGTTAATAGCATTTTATACTCTTGTACTATTGTAAATTAACAAACATGCCTCTCTGTAATTTTTATGCACAAACATGCCCTTCTATTATCCAAAAATAACAAACATATCCTTCCGTCCAAAATTCTATTAACTAACGGTAAAATAAAGTTGAAATTGACTATTTTGCCCTCACATATTAAAAATTTGCTCCTTTTACCAACGGAACTAGAAAAATCATAATTTATTAATTTAATTCTTTAGCTAATAATAATTAAATTTTGAATGTATTCCTTCGGGAATCGAGGATTAGCAAGTCCCCACAATTAGTTTCTGCTTCATTATTTAGTTAATAATAATTCAGTCCACGGCGTGCATCGTCATCTTCCACAACGTCGTTCCAGCTTCTCCGACGACACCCAGGTCCGGCGACACCCTGGTCCGGCGACACCTAGCTTCAACATGTAAAGCTTTCAGTATTGAAATTTTCTGGGCATCTGATTTTACGAAAAGCTCTCATTTTGTATAGAAAAGCTCCTTGAGCTTAGGGTTTGTTAGAGGAAGAAGAAAGGAAAGAAGGCGGTACAAAATGCCAAAACCCGCAAAGGGATTTGTTCTCATTGATTCCAAATATATATGTCTCTAAGATGCATACAAGAACCAACAGTAAAAATGTAAGAGGAAGTTAAACCGAAATACAAAATAAAGCAGTAAAAACAAGACAGGTGTCTCCTCGCTATTGGTTCGTCGTAGTTCCACCCAACGGTAAAAGCCAGACTCCACGACGCTGCGTTTTGTCCATCGTTTAATGTTGAGTGGAAGGGGAGGCAGAAACGAAACGTTTCTGCCTCAGTTCTTCAAAGCTCTGCACTCTCCATCAATGGTTCCAGCATCAGCAACAAAAGATCAGTGAGATGATTTCTCACATTTCATTTTCCAGCTCAGATACTCCCCCACAAGCTGGCGAGTAGGCATTGAACACTCCCAGCTTGTCTAACAGAAACTTCAAACGATATCGAGTAACTCCTTTAGTAAAGATATCTGCAACTTGATCATCTGTTCTAACATGACTCAGTTTGATAAGTCCAGACTTAAGTCTTTCCCTTGTAACATGGCAATCTATCTCAATGTGCTTAGTCCTCTCGTGAAACACTGGGTTCTCTGCTATGTGTAAGGCAGATTTGTTATCACAAAAGAGAGGAATTGGAAGTGGTACCTGAATTCCCATTTCCAACAGCAGATTTCTAAGCCATTGAACCTCACACACCACTTGTGCCAAAGCCCTATACTCAGCTTCAGATGATGACCTTGAGACAGTTGTCTGTTTCTTGGTCTTCCATGTGATTAATGAGCTCCCCAGGAATGTGCAATACCCAGTCAATGATCTCCTAGAGTCAGGGCAACTTGCCCAATCTGCATCACAGAAACCTTGCAGCTCCAGTTTTGAATCAGCCCTGAACATCAGTCCTTGTCCAGGAGTCTGTTTTAAGTACCTGATCACCCTATGTGCTGCTTGTAGATGTTCTACACGAGGAGTGGCCTGAAACTGTGCAAGTTGCTGAATTGCATAAGTTATATCTGGTCTGGTAATAGTGAGGTAGTGTAACCTGCCAATTAGTCTCCTGTAAACAGTGGCATCTGGTAAGGGTTCTCCTTGAGTGGCTGAAAGCCTTACATTGCAATCCACAGGAGACAAGCACCCTTTAGCTTCAAGAAACCCTGTGTCTGTTACCAATTCAAGACAGTACTTCTTCTGACTCAAGGATATCCCTTTGTGATCCCTCAACACTTCCAAACCCAGAAAATAACTCATTTGGCCAAGGTCTTTTACCTTAAATTCCTTACTTAAGAAAAGCTTCAACTGTTCAATGTCTCCTAAGTAACTTCCAGCAATCAATATATCATCAACATACACCAAAACAACAACCACTCTTCCTTGTATCCATCTGACAAACATAGAGTAATCAGAAGCAGTTTGAGAATATCCATTCTTCATCAATGCAGTGGTTAGTTTTGCAAACCATTGCCTACTTGCCTGTTTGAGGCCATAAAGAGACTTCTTAAGTCTATAAACCAGACCCTGGTCTCTAGGAACATTAGCACCAGGTGGGATTTCCAAGTAAACTTCTTCTTCCAAATCACCATGTAAAAAGGCATTGGACACATCCATTTGATGTATGTGCCAGTCCTTGGAAGCTGCAACTGACAAAAGTGTTTTGACAGAGTTGATTTTGGCCACAGGAGAATAAGTGTCCAAAAAATCAATTCCATATATTTGTGTGTAGCCTTTAGCTTCCACTCTTGATTTGAATCTTTCAATAGATCCATCAGGCTTGTGTTTGATCTTAAATACCCATTTAGAACCCACTGCCTTCTTCCCTTTTGGTAGTTTTACAACTTCCCAGGTTTGATTCTCCTCAAGTGCTGCCAACTCTTCATTACAAGCCTGATTCCACCTAGGATCTTTACAGGCTTCTGCATATGATGTAGGTTCCTCATTCAACATAACACTCATAGCAAAAGCCCTTTGGGAGGGAGAAAGTTGCTCATAGGAGAAATGCTGCCAGACATGATGTTTAGAGCAGGAAGCTGCCATATTGAAATGGTAATCTCTGTGCCAAGCAGGCACAGATTTGATCCTTGAAGATTTTCTAAGAAACTCAGCTTCGTCAGTGTCATGTGGATCAGGGAAAACCTCTATCTCTACATCCTCCCCCCCAGAATGCAAGTCATGCACAGTAGATGGTGAAACATCAGTAGTGTGTGAAACATCAGGAGTGTGTGTGTGAAAGGGCATGGAAGCATTATGAGGAGTAGAGGAAGGTGAAGAGGGATGAGCAGGAGAAGAGTTAGAAACTGGGGAAGGTGAAGGTATAGGAAGAGGAGAAAGTGTGGGAGTAATAGGGTCTGAAATAGGTGGTGAATGTGAGGAAGTGGAATCTGTGACTGAGAAAGGAAATATGGTTTCATAGAATGTCACATCACGAGATACAAAGAAAGAATGGGAATTGATATCATAGAGCTTGTAGCCCTTTATCCCTGAAGGGAAGCCAAGAAAAATGCATTGTCTGGCTCTACTATCAAACTTGGTCCTATCCCTATGAAGTGTGGCAGCATAACACAGACACCCAAACACCCTCAGACCAGTTAAACTAGGAGGTTTGTTGTATAAACATTCATAGGGGGACTTGTTTGAAAGAACAGAAGAGGGGATACGATTTATAAGGTAAACAGCATGGAGGATACAATCACTCCAAAACTGTAAAGGAACTCCTGACTGGAACCTAAGAGATCTAGCCACATTCAAGATGTGTTGGTGCTTTCTCTCAATCCTGGCATTCTGCTCAGGGGTTTCAACACAAGATAACTGATGCACAATGCCATGTGTTGTGTAAAAATCAACCATATGGAACTCATTTCCCTGATCACTGCGAATGATTTTGAGATTT